TACCCCCTCCGCTACCCCCGGCACCCCCACCCCCTCCCACGTCCGTTCCTACCCCCCGTCTCTCTCGCTCCATCTCGAGGCCTGTCCGCAAATGGGCACCTCTCGCGCCGCCGCTTCTCGAAGGACCCCTCTTTGCTCGTGTGCGGCCCCCTCCATGCGCAAGCGCACTCTTCTATGCTCATCAGCAGGATCGGGATCGGAGCGTGGACGCGCCATGAGTGCCTCCCCAAAACTCCGCTCCGCGGCTGGGGCACTCTCGCCGGAGCGATCATTGAAGGCGTCTCGTGCATCGCCAATGGAAGCGCTGGACGTGGATAGCGCAGCAACATGGCTCCGAATTCCAGAGAGACATGGCGTATTGCGCCTTGACCGGACCTAAAGGAAAGAGAACAAGCGAGTTAAAACAACAAGCGAGTAGGAGGGTAAAGATCAAAGAACAAAAATCGGTGCGAGCAAAAGGTTCCAAAAAAAAAAAAAAAGACTCAACATGAACGACCCAGCAGAAAAGGAAGGAGAAAAGGAAGGAAAACTGTTCATCCTGCAAACCACATGGCTACTTATTTTCATACTCGCTAATATTCAAACTTTTCTGAAGCATATGAGCTCTAAAGAAACAAATCTTGAATTTCAAAAACCAGAAGAATTGTTTGGCCTACTTGATGATGTTGTCAGAAAGCGATCCAAGGAAGCGATCCAAGACCTTAAAGCAAGTAGAAAAAATGGTTCTCACATTTCGGTATTGGTCTTCGGACCGTAAAGTCTCTCTCAGCAGTCTTTCCGCTTCTCGCTCCTCGTTCGCAAGTTGTACTTATAAGGGGAGGTCATTCGGTTGGCTTATGTTATTTGGGTGAATGTTTGAACACCTCATGTCAACCGATTACGATGTACATTGAGCCAACCAGCCACGCTAAGAATGATCAATGTGGTTTGCTTCAAAGGGATGACCAAATCCACCGTATCCCACAGCATTACCTGGCTTTTGACCACCTTCAGAGCCTCGCCTTTGAAGTGTTTGAGTGTGGCCTTTCAAAGCTAGAGTCCAGTGGAACAATGAACATCCCACTAGCGGGCCAACAAAGGACCAACAAGAACCCACATAGGTAGAAGCTTCTTCTTAGCGACACGAGAAGAGGCTTTCTAATGTATGGACAAAAACTGTGTAATTTGACTTCCACCATGATCAAATAGAATTCTTGCCTCTTACCATTACCAACCTTTGCCAAGAAATAAGACCCATGAGACGCTCTCAATTCAACTTACCACCTTTAGGTCCAGCCAAGCTCACCGCTTCGGCAGTATGTTGGGGAGCCTCAGCAGGAGGTGGAGGGGGCAAGAACTCCCCATCTTCAAATCCATCATTCTCCACTTCCAGCTCACGAGGTTGGTCCCGCCTGTCATAGGCGATGCTTTGAGCCCGCAAGATTTGATCGAGGATCGCGGGATGAATCTTGTTGTGGTCCACCACCACGACGAGCCGCGACTGCCCACTATCTGACATGTTAACAGCCGCAATCACGTGCTTCACACGGTCCTTGGAGCTCGGCAACATGAAGACTTGGTTGAAATCAACGTAGCCCCCTTCGGAGCCGCGCCGGGCGTGAGCCCGCTTCCAAAACCACAGTGCGCAGAACCTGCAAGCCCAAAAATGCATACATGTGTCTCATGTGTTTGTTGTTGATAAGGTTCAAGTGTCATCAAGATCCTCTGCTAAATCTACACACAAATGATACATTGCAATAGAGCCAAGGGCGTGTCAACTCGTTCAGGTTTGGCAAGTGCTTGTCACATTGTGCTACTTGAATCGATTTGGAATAGTCAGCATTGGGCTGCCAGGGGCTCGTATCTAGGGGGAGTATGCCGGCTTCTAGGGGGAGTATGCTGAAGTTACATACTATCACGCACGTTTCTCTAGAAGCATTTGTACCATCAGCAATGAAGCTTTCAATCAAGAGCTACTATGACAAAGCTATCTAGAACTTTTTTTTGAGGGAGAGGGAGGAAGTGATTTACCTGAGTGGGTCCCCCAAAAGCAGTAGATCATCGTTTTGGAGGGTCTCCAGAACAGCAAATTGCCCAGTCGCACGTTGGCCAATGACTAGGACGTATAACCCCACAACATCTCTAGATCAAGCTCGACTGAGAACACTTGCTCTTCAAGTCTCGGGACAATGGAGTGGGTTTCGTGGTAATTCCCGTCCTCATCCTCACGGGAAGCACTGTTGAAGACCTCTGCCGCGACCCAAACCCTCATAACCTTCTTCTGCACAATGAATGTTGAGGACAAATCGATAGACAGCATTACGTAAGGGCCCATAAGGTCCTTTTGATGAGGCAACATTATCTAGGTTAGATTGTGTAATTGTGATGCAACAAGAGCGAAACAATCGGGTGTCCTCGATCTAGTGAATGGGCTGGCAATCACACTTTCAGGCTGGCTCTCGAAACTCCTCCTCACTTTCACTCATTTTAGCTTACTTTTCGGAGCACACCCACACTCTAGGAAGGCAAAAAAAAAAACACTTGAGTTGGGAGGCTTTTAGTAACTTGTAGTCCATCTCAGGCATCATCCACCATATTTGAATATTCAAAAGCGTCTCCACTCCAAAAAGAACAGAATTAATAGAGGAGTACACGTGAAAGCACATTATTTGGCGGTCTGCCCATTCTGGAACCAGAGCCCTGTACTTGAGGAGGCCCAGTTTGTTGCCCCGCTTGGCTAGCCTGGGAGCTGAAGTTCCCCAAGGTCCCATGTCCCGCAAATGGATTTGCCACGCCAGTGCGTCCGCTAGATCCACACGAACCGCTTCTCGGTGGCAAGGGACCTGCCTGCCTCCGTTGATTCAATCTATCCATGATTCTTCTTACACCTCTCAGCCTTGTGTCTCGCGGAATGCCACGTGATGCAGGATCATCGATTCCCAAAAGGGTGCACGCAGATTCAACTGTTTGTTGGAGAAAGTTTGCTCATGGCAAATTGGAGCCTGAAAGTTTGCAACGCAGTTTGCAAAGCTGCTGCAATTAGTGCCTGAACAGTGCTTTGGGGCGGGTCTTGCTGCAAAAGAGCGTTGGAAGGCAACGTACTTTCAGGCTGGTTGCTAGGGCCGTGCTCAATGGCAAATGCTTGTTGGATATCTCGCAGCCGCACCCTTAAATTGTCCACCGTTTGCGCAGCAGCTAGAGTTGCAGGACTTGCAGGAGTTTGTTCATGCAATGGCAGCCCCGCAGTATCTTGTTCTTCACCCCGACGCAACAATCGATCGAGCTCTAAACTATGTTGAGGAGAAGGCCGTTGTGGCGTTTGCTACTGCTGCTGGTGATCTGATCGCCTTTCAGACATGCTTCAAGCAAGCTTTAGATACTTTATGCATCTCTGGAAATGGTGGAAAAGTAGGAGGGTGAGCTTTGCCAAAAATCGACGAGATTGAATGACCGTAGCAAAATATGACTCTAGAATCATCAGCTTTAGGCTTGAGGTACCGGTCCCGCACCAGGGTTTCCTAGAGCCGGCAAGAGAACCTAGACCAGGCCGGCGGAAACGGGACCCCGGCCGGTGCCGAAGGCACCCCACCGGCTTGTTGGCCGTCAGGTAATGTGGGCACTTGCTAGGTTGTGTACCTACCGTACATGAGACCCACGGTTAAAGGTCCCTAGTTGGTTTCACTTATAGGAGTAGCGGTACCTAGGTAGGTAACCACGTTGACCAAATTAAGTACCCCGTACCTGCAACGTTCGTAGCTCGTCTTAGCACGTCCGATTTATCAAAAAAAGGGTATCGGACGGTCGATCGCTTTTGGTTCCTCTCTGCACTGTGCAGTACCGACTTGCACACCGGTCGCCGAGTGGCATTTCCAGAGCCCCTCGTAGGTACCTACTGTCATGGAACAAACAGCTCAAAGAGTACTACGGTATCTACGGTACCGGTAGTTGGACCGAATTTAAAAGGTCTAGGGTACTTAGGTACATTGTACCATAGGTAGACTGCACCGTAGGATTGGACAAAAAAACACAATCGAACGGTAAAAAGTATAAATATATATAGTATAAATATCAATAAACTGTACAAACGTATTAAGTTGCACATACGGGCCTTTGGCCGGTTGCGAGAGCACGCATGGTACAAGGCGCTCAATCTACGGTAGGTAGTACAGTCGAGTCGGAGTGTACATACCCTAGCTCCGTCTCTTGTACCTGGGTACCGTAGGTAAAAGTTAGGGAATATGTCCCGTACGATTGGGCAAAAAAACAATATCGGACGGTCAAATGGTTTTGGAGCCTAACAATAAGTACCAAGGATGCATGGTACCGTAGGTACCTGCATTGCGCCGTTTGCGAGTCGCAGGCCGGTACTTATGGATTCTGCCCCCGTAATTTCTGCCCCCGTACTGTACGGTATTAGTAGTAAGAAGAACCGGTAGGTACTAGGAAGCACTCATCGTACCTTACTTTCGGCTTGATACGGTACCATACATTGTTACCATCCTCGGCTACGGTACCAGTACCGTAGTGCGGTGCCAAGGCAGGTACAGCAAGGGACCTTCAGTCTCCGGTACCTTCAGTCTCCGGTACAGACGTACCTATGCCGGAATCCTATGATGTCAGTACCGGCAATGGGTACCGGCAACGGGCAGATGCCAAATATCCTTTGCACACGTGTTATCATGTAGACCCTGACCAATGAGAAGGGAGGAGGGTACACCGTCGAAACCGTCGAAAGGCTTGACAAATTCTCGACGTTTCACCTTTAACATGGAAGGGCAACTCTACCAATGAAAGGCTCGTATACGAAGAGCTCTTATATAGTTGAGGCCATAAGACGAGGGCAAACGCAGTTGGGTAGTAATCAGAACAAAACTTTGAAAATATCCGGTAGGGCCGCAACGACTCGATTGATAGATAGAACGATTCGATAAATAAGTACAACGACTCGATTGACAAGTACAACGACTCAATTTTTAGTACAACAAGTCGGTTGAAAACTTTACCAACTTGTACAACCTCAAAATCAACATGTGGACCGCGATGTTGCAACTACGTATATCGTGAAAACGACTTAGGGTTGCTTGATTTCGAGTGGTAGTTAAACGTTTTGGTGAAAACAACTTAGACTAAAATAGTTGCATCATTTGCGCTGCAATAAGCAGAAG